TTTTATTCTGCCTAGAGCAGGTGTTGGAATACAATGTTATGGATTTTGTGCAACAAGTACATCAGTATTCTTCTTCCAGTAGATAGCAGTGTTTGTAGCTGCATCTATGGTAGACTCTAAGGAGCTGATTTACTAAAGGCAATTTGGCTGTAGTATATTTGCTCTAGATCTGAGGGGAATAAGCAAGGTACAAAAAAAAAACAGCATTTTTGCTTACACGAGATTGGATGATAGAAATCAGCAGAGCTTCCCTTCATTTCAGAGCTAACCTTCAGATCTAGAGCAACTGCACTTTCAGTGCACTTGGAGTGCACAGCCTATTTACCTTTAGTAAATCAACGCCTATGTCTTTTCTCTGAATACATTTTCCTGTTTTCTTGTTGCAGAGACACAGAAACACATTGTGCACTGTCTGTAGGGCTATATGCAGAATTTCTAACAGTAGGGAATAATTTAAATATCGAGGGGCATCTACTCAGTGGGGTCACAGAGCACCTTGTAGTGGCTACAGTACACTGGAAGACCGAAGATGAGGAGCTCTATCTACTGAAGCCTTCAGGAAGCTAATAGCTGGTTTAAATGGGTTTATCAGTTTTAATTACGTGCTCTATTAATCTGAGTTAAAGCTAAATTGGAAGGTATACTCACTCTTCTACACAAGGCCAGATTTACAATAAGGCAAAGTAGGTTCTCAGAAAACCATAGATTTAATGGTGTCTGTTCTTTGAGACCCCTTCCTGCTTTAATACCCCTTCCTGCTTTAATACCTGCTCTACAAATTCAAACATAATGTCAGAATAGTCTTCATTTTTCATGGTATATGACCTGCAGTCTTCTCTCACTTTTCCCAATAGTGGCGCCTGTACAGGTATATACTGTATATATATTTATGGGACTGTGTACCTAACATCAACACTATGTGGCCAAACATATATGGACACCCCACCAAATTATTGCATTCAGGTGTTTCAATCAAAGTATGCTGTTAGGCCTTAATCATACGGACATTCCTAGCTATACATCCATGAGGAGGGCAAACTTTATTCTGATCCACATACCGGAAGCACATGGAGGTTCATGCCAGTCAATGCAGCCAGCCACCTCTCATGGATTTGAACAGGGTGACTGCATGTGTCTGCACAGAGCACCTGTGCATCCTATGCAGGTGAAGATGGCCATTCACATGGGTGTACAAATAGGTATGCTCATGTGATTAAGGCCTTTGGCCTTCAGTCTGGATCTGTTTGTCAGTTTTTAAGATAGATTAGACTAAACCACAATGAATGTAAGCCCCCAGACAGATGCACGAAGACCTGTTCCATGGTATTTTTAAAGTACACTATATTGCCAAAATTATTGGGATGCCTGCCCATTCTTCCAGAAGCACATTTGTGAGGTCAGGCACTGATGTCGGACAAGAAGGCCTGGCTCGCAGTCTCCACTTTAATTCATCCCAAAGGTGTACTATTGGGTTGAGGTCAGGACTCTGTGCAGGCCAGTCAAGTTCCTCCACCCCAAACTCGCTCATCCATGTTTTTATGAATCTTGCTTTGTGCACTGGTGTGCAGTCATGTTGGAATAAGAAGGGACCATCCCCAAACTGTTCCCACAAAGTTGGGAGCATGAAATTGTCCAAAATTTTTTGATATGCTGATGCCTTAAGAGTTCCCATCACTGGAACTAAGGAACCAAGCCCAACCCCTGAAAAGCAACCCCACACCATAATCCCCCCTCCACCAACCTTTACACTTGGCACAATGCAGTCAGGCAAGTACTGTTCTTCCGGCATCTGCCAAACCCAGACACGTCCATCGGATTGCCAGACAGAGAAGCACGATTCGTCAATCCAGAGAACACGTCTCCACTGCTCTAGAGTCCAGTGGCGGTGTGCTTTAAACCACTGCATCCAAGCTTTGCATTGCACTTGGTGATGTAAGGCTTGGATGCAGCTGCTCGGCCATGAAAACCCATTCCATGAAGCTCTCTACACACACTGTTGTTGTGCTAATCTGAAGGCCACATGACGTTTGGAGGTCTTTAGCTATAGACTCTGCAGACAGTTGACGACTTCTGCACACTGTGTGCTTCAGCATGCGCTGACCCCGCTCTGTCATTTTACGTGGCCTACCACTTCATGGCTGAGTTGCTGTTGTTCCCAGTTGCTTCCACTATTATAATACCACTAACAGTTGACAGTGAAATATTTAGTAGCAAGGAAATTTCACAGATGGACCTATTGCACAGGTGCCATGCTTGAATTCACTGAGCTCCTGAGAGCAACCCATTCTCTCACAAATGTATGTAGAAGCAGTCTGCATGCCCAGGTGCTTGATATTATACATCTGTGGCCATGGAGATGATTGGAACACCTGAAGCCAATGATTTGGGGGGGGGGGGTATCCCAATACTATTGACAATATGGTGTATATGTAAACTCTTACCCTGTAAAACACCCCATACAGTATAAAATAGAAATGAAAGACAAAGCATTTGTGTATACATAAAAAAAATTAGTACCTTTTCCTTGTTTAATTATAAGTGATCACGTGATTCTCTTTTCTCAGCTGCATAAGGAGCAGGAGCGGTGGGGAGGAGACTGCAGGAGGGAATATCAGCAGAAGTCTGATCATTGGATGACAGGCAGGCTGTTCTTCCAGCACAGGCAGAAAACTGGCCAAGCTGAGATGAATGTGATCTCATGCCTAGTGTGGCCAGTTTGAAACAAGAAAGCAGAGGGACTGGCAGGATCACTAGGAATTTCACACAAACAAAGCAATACAAAGAGAACATGATACCTATTGACACAAGTACATGGTATAACAGAAAAATATGAATTTGAAATGTTGGGGTAACATATTCTTTAACAGACAAAAAAGGGAGCAAATAAGTTGAGTTTAGTGTTAGGATTTTACCAACACTTTAACTTTAATTTTAGACAATTGTTCGCTCCCAACCAGGGGCGGACTGACAACTCATGGGGCCCCTGGGCAATAGGGGATCATGGGGCCCCTGTATTCTCACCCACACTCAAACCACACTCAAAAAAAGCCTATGAAAGGTGAAAGGTACCAGGGGCATCTCATGGGGCCCCCTACTGACCCCGGGCTCTCAGGCAGTGCCCGAGTTCCCAAATGGTCAGTCCGCCCTTGCTCCCAACCTTGGAGAAGCAGTTTGGGTAAGGCCCTTTTTTGTTCTGGTATCACTGATGCCCTGTGCACACAAATAGACCCATAAATACAATTCTGACGTGGAGGAACTTGAATGACCTGCACAGGATCCGAACGTCAACCCTACTGGGCACCTTTGGGATGAACTAGAATGCTGATTGTGAATCCCCATCTAACAGCAGTACTTGACCTTGCAAATGCTTTTTTGCTTGATTGGACAAATGACAGCTACATTGTGAAAGTGTATAACATGCTGAGCTAGAACACTTAATTTGTGTTTATGTGGTATATATGAGAAAAAAACAAATGTGTTGTGTATCAGTGTAGGGATAAGCCCTCTTTGCAGTCACATATGCTTGAAAAATAACCACTTGACTGTTTGTATCTCGGTATCAGAAATTCATCACTGCTCTGAGAACAAGTGATGGAGAGGTAGAGAAAGAGCAACAGTGGGAAAAAATGATCGCTGGTCTCTACTGACTGCGACACAGACACTTCTATAGATTGGAGTCACCTGGGACACATACTCTCCTTTCCACACAGCTGCTCCTATGTCAGGCAAACAAAAGCATCTGCCTTCTGGGGAGGACGAGGATGGAAAATGAAATAGAGGTTATCAGGTCTGTGCACTAAGGACACACCAAAATCATCTCCCTTCATAATCCAGATCTAATATACTCAAAACCATCATAGACAAACAGCACTCATAATTATGATGTTAAAAGATCTTATACATATGTAAAGCACTGTGTAAATTGACGGCGCTATAAAAGTACCTGTAATAATAATATACAGTATACACACAGTATATGCATAATCTTGATGTTAAAAGATCATATATATATATATATATATATATATATATATATATATATATATATATATATACAGTGGGGCAAAAAGTATTTAGTCAGCCACCAGTTGTGCAAGTTCTCCAACTTAAAAAGATGAGAGAGGCCTGTAATTGTCATCATAGGTAGACCTCAACTATGAGAGACAAAATGAGAAAACAAGGAGAGAGAGAAGGTGGGGAGGAGGCGTGGCACTGTGTGTGAATGAACACGCAGAGGGAGCGAGCCTGCTTGGGTGCCCCCATAGCACTCAGCACAGTGAGACACTTCTCTCAGATTATCCATGGGGGCTATGTATGTTTTTTACCCTGTATGGTCTGATTCGGTACTACCAAGTTATAATAATAATTGCTAAAATTGATTATTAATTACTATTATAGAGTGGTATCATATCCCTGAAGAAGAATCTGTATTAAGCATTTGAAACAAGTTGGATCCCAGGCTGAATATATCTGCAATCAAACTCTGAGGCTGCAAGATGAAAATCAGCTATGGGGGTAGTCTAAATTGCTGTGCAATTTATTTGGAAATATGTAATGATCATTTTGCATGTGCTGGCAAGCAAAACAAACTTTTAATGACACATTGAATGTACAAATAAAATCTTGACTTTCTTTTTAACCATTTGCCCTCCAGAGGATTTACCCCCCTTTTCCTGACCAGGCCATTGTTTGCGTTACAGCGCTGCGTTACTTTAACTGACAATTGTGCGGTTATGCAACGCTGCACCCAAATTAAATTTACGGCCTTTTTTCCCACAAATAGAGCTTTCTTTCAGTGGTATTTGATCACCTGTGCGGTTTTTATTTTTTGCGCTATAAAAAAAACAAGACCGACAATTTTTGAGGAAAAAAAAACAATATTTTTGACTTTTTGCTATTAAACATGTCCAGTAATAAAATTTTAAAATCAAATTTCGTCATAAATTTAGGCCAAAATGTATTCTGCAACATGTCTTTGCTAAAAAAAATCCCAATATGTGTAAATTAATTGCTTTATGTGAAAGTTATAGCATTTACAAATGTCGGTATATATACTGAGAGATTTTTTTTTTAATTTTTACTAGTAATGGCGGCGATCAGCGACTTGTAGCGGGACAGCGGCGGGCATTCTGACACTGGGGGGGAACTGACTTGGTGTCACTGACATCCCCAGTGAGACCAATACAGTGAAAAAAAAGCACTGACACTGTACTAATGGCACTGGGCAGGAAGGGGTTAACATGTGGGGCAATCGAAGGGTTAACTGTCTGCTGTTTTGCATACTGGGCTGTGTTTGTGCTTTGCTGTAAGCACACTGCTTTGCATGGTTGTGCTATGCACAGCCATGCAAAACAGTGTGCAGGAGCTGATAGGGGAGAGAACTGTTTTGTTTACAAACAGTCCTCTCCCCTGTTGGAGATGCTCGGCAATCACCGGGCGCAGGTGAGTAATCACCGTCCGGGACCCGCTGATTGACAGCCGAGGCCACTAATGCAAAATCACATATATATACGTGATTTCGCGCACCGGTGCCACCCTGTAACAGTACTTCTGCTATAGGGCAGATGGGAAGCGGTTGAAAAAAATGGTTTCTTTTGTGCAATTTAACCTCTTGGCGCCAGCCGAACGCAAATGTGTGGCCTCCCGGAGTCTGGGCCTAGATGCTGAGCGTCCGCACATTTGCTGAGAGTGTACGCCCTGCACGCTCCCAGCACGCAGGTTCGGTACTCAAAGAAAGGTCCCGATCTCCTCTTGCATTCGGGACATTTCCCGATCATGTGACTGCCATGACAGCAAATCACAGCAGTCACATGACCCTAAAACCCTGCCCTGCCTTCCGACTTCTGAAACCTTTAAAGGGCCGGGAGGCGCAGGCGCCAAGGGGTTAAGGTTGCCTTAAAAATCCCATGAAATATAAGATAGCTGCTGGATGGAGGTGGATGGTGCACCTAGCAGTACTTACATTTAAGGCAGTATCCCAGGGATGAATGCTCGTAACACAAGCGTTCTGCCTTGAGGGCATTTGACCTTGGGCACATACTGCCCTACGTACTGCTACTACTACCTAAGTAGCCTAATCCACCAGGGCTAAATGACTAGTGGTTATGAGGCCATGAGTAATTTGGCAGGTAAAACTTGTCATGTACATACATGTAAACTGTATGAATTGTCAGATTTCCATGGTAGAGGAGCAGGGGTGGACTGACAACTCATGGGGCCCCTGGGCAATAGGGGATCATGGGGCCCCTGTTTCCTTGCCCACACTCAAAAAAAGCCTATAAAAAAGGTACCAGGGGCATTTCATGGGGCCCCCTACTGACCCCGGGCCCTCGGGCAGTGCCCGAGTGCTCGAATGGTCAGTCCGCCCCTGTAGAGGAGGGTTTCACATAGAAGGAGCCTGCTTTCTCCCTACCAGTGAGCAGGACCCATGTGCAGCCATGGAATCTCTTGCAGTGCAGATCTGCTTGTAGCCACTTCAGTAAGAAGAGGAACTGTGTCATTTTTCTCCGACTCAGAGCTTCTGCAGCGGGTGATGTATTTTTCCTTGCTAATCATCGCTATTTTTTTTTTCTCATCAAGAAACTGACAAGTAAGTTGTCCAGTATAGTACTGTTTGATGTAGAAGAAAGTAAGAATCATTTTTCCTTAGCCAAAAGCTGCCAGGCGGCTCCTGCTTAGCGCTGATCAGTGCTCCGAACTCTCCTTTAGTGTTCTTTTGTGAAGGAAGCTCAGAGGTGCAAGGAATAAGAGGCTTATATAAAAAGCCCCAGCATCTAATCAGCAGTATTGAGGTTGTAATAGGCAGCTCGCCGTGCGCTGCTTTCACTGGAGAAGGGGAAAATTGAGAGCGAACACAGACATCTGGGAATAAGTGAAACAACTCTGAATTGGAGATTTGGGGGTTGGAAAGGGATCCTGCAGCTTGGAAATTGAACTTGCTATTTCTGCAGATACGGATGCATTGTCCCAGGTGCTTTAAAAGTTGTGAGAGATAGAACATTAAAAAATATATATTGAACAAGAAAGGCCAGCATGCAGAGCGAGAGTGGAAATGGAAAAAAAAGAGAGAAGTGAAAGCAGCGGGAAAACCTTTACTCTGCTTTTCAGAAAATAAAAATCCGTTTTGCTGTTTTTATCTTTTGTTGCAGTGGGACACTGTTGATGTATACTGTTCTCTACGACGCAGAACAACATTGCAGGGTAGCCAAGCCTGACGAAATTTACGCACACAGGCTGTGTCACAGCAGCGTCCTAATCTAATTTAGCCTATGTGTAGGAGGGCAGTAGGGTACCTTGCTTACTAGTACATTAAGAACTTTGTTATGGGTACATACCTGGGAAGTTTATATACATTTCTTATGTTTTCTAAATGCTAAAAATTGTCTAAGAAAAAGTCATTGTAATAATCAATGCGTATGCAGTGGTGTTTGCAATGGAAATGGCCTTGTCAAATCTATATCTGAAAGTATGTAGGAAAAACTTTTCCAACAAAAGAAGTCCTTCTCGCTGGGTGCACTAGAAGACACATGCTGTAATAATGCGTTTTGCCATGCATTTTCACCTGTGCTTTGGTCCTTTTTTAACCCCATTCAACTGACTTGAATGTTTAGGCTCCATGTACACGGGACATTTCTGAACGATGGAAACTGACTGCTGAAAAACGTGGGTTAAGCTGCGTTTGCATACTGCGTTTATGCACGTTTATGAGCATTTGCGTTTAGAAACATTTTTTAAAGATAACCTCAGGAGACCTTCCAGGATGCCCAGAATGCACTGAAAAAAGTAAAAAATTAACTTTTTCAGACATTTTGAGAGAAATAGAGCAGAAGCAGAGAGAGCAGTATTTGTTGAGATAAGCTGTCTTTTTTTTGTGGTGTTTGGATGAGTTCCGGCTCATTTCTGTGCAGCAATTATTGCAGCAGTGTCTGACATATTTTCTTTCATGAGAAACCTATGGTGTACCGAGTCCATTTGAGTACCAGAAAAACGATTTGCATGCATTTTTCATGATGAAAAAAGGTTCTGGACAGCATCTGAAAATGGAAGAGTTAAGAAATGTTTTCAAACGCAAACGCTTATAAATGCGGTTAGCCGCGTTTAAAAGCGTTTGGCATTTGAAACGCTGATAAAATCTACTCCTGAACGCAAGTTTTCTGCGTTCAAAAAAACAACTGTAAACTCAACTGCCTGTAAACAACATAGTGTACATGGACACAGAGGAAAACATTAGGGAGAGTTCAGGGGCTGCTGAAAAAAAATGCTGAACAGCTCCTGAACGTCAGTTTATCAGCTGCAGTGTACATGAGCCCTTAAAGTGGTTGTAAAGGCAGAAGGTTTTTTTTTTTATTTTCATGCATTCTAGCCATAAAAGTAAAAAAGTGTAGTTTCCCCTCTTATACTGAGCCCGATCCTGATCCAGTGATGTGCACAAGAGCCAAGGCTCTCTCAGCTCTCTCACTTCTCATTGGCTTAGAGACAGCAGCGGGAGTCAATCACAGCCAATGAGGAGGGAGCGGGGGCCGAGCTGCGCTCTGTGAGTCTTATAGACACACAGAGGTGGCTCGGGTGAGTGAGCACACACAAGTGCCCCCCCCCACAGCAAACATCTTGCTATGGGGGCACTTGGCAGGGGGCAGGAGGAACCAGGAGTGCTCTGTGCAGTAGTTGTAGTTGAGTATGACATGTTTGTTTAAAAAAAAATAACCTTTAGAATCACTTTAACTGCTTGCCGACCAGACAACTTACATGTATGGCGGCAAAGTGGCCTCTCTCTGGTACGTGATCCGTGCGCCCGTTGGCCTGGCTGTGCTGTGATTTGTCACAGCACTTGCTGATCACCGGGTCCCAGCCAATGATTGACCGCATGGACCTGGTGATCGGCTCTGTGTTACACCAAACACATCTCTGTGAATGTAAACAACACAGAGCCCTGTTCAGGACCTCAGTAAAAGCACCACACAGTAAACACATTAACACTTTTTAGGCACACAGTTAATGCCTTAATCGTCCTAGATGTTAACCCATTCTTGCCCAGTGTCATTAGTAAAGTGACAGTGCATATCATTAGCACTGATCACTGTAATAATGTCACTGGTGATGTCAATGGCAGTTAATTCCCCACAGTGTCAGCTAGTGTCAGATTGGTTGCCACATTATGACATTCCTGTTATATGTCGCCGATCACTGCCATTACTAGAGTAAAAAAAATTATAATAAAAATTCCAGTATATATAACATAGTTTGCTGACTCTATAACTTTCACACAAACCAATTAACATACACTTATTGGGATTTTATTTTTTTTATTTATTTGTTTGTTTGTTTGTTTGTTTGTTTTACCAAAGACATGTAACAGAATACATTTTGGCCAAAATATATTAAGATATTTTATTTTTTTATTGGCTATGTTTTATAGCAGAAAGTAACAAATATTGTTTTTGTTGTTGTTTTGTTTGTTTTTGTGGTTTGTTTTATCTGTTTATCTAATGCAAAAAATACTTGTTAAACTTGAAAGAAATCCTCTGCACTCTGCAGTCTTATCACAGGCAGTTTTACCAACCTGCGCAGTTTACCTCTGTCCACTACAAACACCCCTTCATTGTTATGGAGAAGGAAAGAGGGAACTTATTCTCTAGTCTTCTCCTAGAATGACAATGATGTGCTTCCATATTTACAGTATAATGAGTGAGCATTGTCACCCAGGCACAGGAATTGTGCTAGTGACAAGATTACTGGGTGAAAATAAAGCCCCCTGTTTACTTGTGCTCTTCACCAAACTGTCAAACCATCAAACGGCTGGAGTCTTAACCGCATAAGGACCGCGCACAATACGTTTACTGCTGCAGGGCAGCCCCTGTGTGCAGGATCACGTATGTATACGTGATTTGCGCTCCCGCAGTTTTCCCAGGTGGGGGGGGGGGTGCAAGGTCGGGTGCCCCAATTTGATTCCTGAGGGATCAATCATCCAATTTAGGTTGGTGATGTCTGGCCTAGGTCGGATGATCGATCCCTGTCCTATCCTTTCCTGTGTTGACAGTTACACAGGACTGGAAGTGATGAAATCTCTCTCTGGGCACATTCCGTCCCACAGAGAGAAGAATCAACACAAAAGTGAGTACAAGCAGTACACAATTACAGTTAGAACACTCTAGGATACATTTAACCCCTTGATCACCCCCTCAGTTAATCCCTTCGCTGCCCTGTCACCAGTGTCATTAGTACAGTGTACAGATTTTTTGCTGATCACTGTATTAGTGTCGCTGGTGACTTCAGATAGCACTAGCGTCAGTTAGCATCAGTTAGCGTCCCTCCCAGATAGCATCAGATTGCCTGTCAGTACACCAGTCATCACATTTAACCCCTTGATTG